TCAAATCAGCCTTTACGCCACGTTGTACACTGAGTGTGCCCATCGTCGTTGTGGGCAGCCTCTGCGTCTCTGGCAAGCCCATTGTTTAGGCGTGCCGTCGCGGTTGCGTACCAATTGTCTCACCAATGACGTTGCGTCGTAAGAACCGATCTTCTTGTAAGGCTGGAACTGCCGACCGCGCAAAATATCAGACAACGTTTTCTTACATGGGTGTTCGAGAACGGTGGCGTCATATACCCGTGATATTTCGGAACAGGGAATATTCAATCTACTTTTCAAGCATCTACATTGGAAAGCATCAATCTCTGATCTGTCACATTTCAAGAGCCATAAATAATCGAATGCCTATAAGAGTTTGCTGACAACCCACGCGGGCAATAACTGCAATTCCCTGCGCGACGTTATAGAAGTGCGCGCCCAAATGTTGTTCACATCGCGAAACGTGGCGCCCGATTCTCCCAACCTTCGAAATAATCAATTTTCGGCGCGACCGTCGCAGAAAATCAAGCCTCCCAGGTGCGCGGCTTCTCTCGCCGTTTCGGTTGGACTCCCCTTCGGTTGCCGCACCACGCCCGTAGTAGGAATTCGGATGTGTACTGTTTTGTCCCAGCTTAATTCGAAGCCATATTTCAGCCCTTCTGAAATAACTGCGTCCAATATAAAGTGTAAATCCCCCGGGTGTTTGGAGCGCAGGAGCGTGCCGTCAGCGTACAGGATGCCCCTTGTAACAACATGCGCGGGCTCTTCCAAGAGAGCCAGGTTGCCGAATACATCGTGCAACGTCACTGATTGAACCGCAATGAAAAGAGATGGCGACAAAAAGGGCACCCTTGCGCAATTCCTGCAAACTGTCTGCGTCATGACGAACGCCCGCTGTGGTCCACTATACTGGAATACTTCTCATACTAGATACCTCGTAGCTTCTGCACCATAGGAGCTGGCAGGCCAAATCTTTCCAACGCATTGCAGAGACAGTCTGGCTTCAAGCGGTCATATGTATGCTTTTGCCCGCTCCAACACAAGTAACATAATACCAACATTATTATGTGTGCGCGCTGCATCTATAAATGGCCCTATTAGCATCAGTGCGTCCACCGTGCAACGCCCCGTGCGGAAGCCGAACTGGGATGATCACGTTCTACGTTCTGACCCTCCTTGTATAAGACGGCGGTGTACCATCGACGCCAAAATTTTGAACCCCACTGCCAACAACGAAATCTGTCTATAGTTGCTTGGGAGGGTTGCGTCGACGTTGGCTCTCCTCCATTTCGTTGGGATGTCTCTCGCTTCCCCACATTCTTGGCATACGTGTAATAATGCTGAGCATGCTTCGTCGCTGTTGGCAAGTCTGTTCCAAAAGTCTGGTGGTATATCATCGGGCCCGGCCGCGTTCCCCTGTTTCGTTGTTCGCACTGCGTTCCGCAATTCTTCTAAAGAGAAATTCGATGTGTCAAGACTCCCCTTTTTTTGAGCGAAGGGGTCCAAGACGGCCCCATGAGGCCTCGCAGACCCCCCCCAAAGAGCCCCATGAGGGCTCCAAGACCCTTCAAAGAAGCCCACAGAGGGTCCCAAGAAGGCTCCCAGAGGACCCTTCGAGGATCCCAAAATGGCGCCCAAATGGCATTACGAGTCTTTGAATAACCCCTAAACACGACATGTGCCCAAAGCCCGACTTCTCATCCTTGTTGTTATCGTCCGTTCCTTCCTTGCTTCTTTCCTGGCGCCTCCCTGCTCCTCTTCATCCTCCTCGCGCCGCGTTCCTCCTGCTCCTCGTCCTACTTTCCCTCCTCCTTTCTTGTTTTTCCTACTCCTCCTCCTCCTCCTCCTCTTCCTCCTCCTCCTCCTCCTCCTCCTCCTCCTCCTGCTCCTCTTACCCCCAAGATGGCCCCAAGATCACCAGCACCAGCAGCACCATGTGCTCCTTGCTTCAGGAAGGCAATAGAGCACCAAAAGCAAAAACACCAGCAGCATCACCATCACCGCCACCACCACCACCATCACCACCACCAGCAGCCGCACGCGAGTTTAAAACAAACTTCAGTGCGGGGGCAGAGATCAAGGATGCATATCGGGATGCGACTCTCAACTGTGCGACAAGGGCGACGAATGATAGATACAGTCACCTCCGCCAGAGACGCTTATCGCAGGAAGCACCCCAGCGTATCTTGCACTGGTTTCCATCTCAAACTTCGCTGCGGGAAGCTATGTGTGATCCTTGTTGTTCATGGCCCTGGGTGGATACAGCCACCTGCGCTAGAGACGTTTACCACGGAGAGTACCACGACGCATCTGGCACCCATGTCCATCTTAGACTTCAATGCGGGAAGCTATTTGTGATCCTTGTTTTTCTGAAGACGGCCGCGCAACTGCATGCTTCCAGCCGTCCCTGATTCACCAACTCCCCTGCTGATCGTTTCTGGATGGGCTGGTGGAGATACACCCCAATCAATGGATGGCCTGATCGATAAAGAGAGATCGACTGGGAACCCGGGAGCCCGGAACCCACCGAAATCGGCCCGCAACCAATGACCGAGAACCCGGGAACCCGGAACCCGGAACCAGGAAGCTGGGAACCCAGCCGGCCACCAAAATCGGCGGGACACTTTCGCCAAATCTTTCAATTTCTGCTAGGACCCCTTCAGTGAAAGCACTGCTTGGGGAAACTTCATCAAAATATACTCAACACAAATTCAAAAATAGTCAAAAAAATCGTCCCTGAACTATGCTTTTGACTATTTCTGAATGTTCCCCCTGTGGAGGGACATGCCCTACTTAAGCATAGGGGGGGACACATCGACCTGGAATCGGCGATATATCCCCACAGATCGGCGATCGGCCCCCAGTCGTGAATCCGCACGTCTCTGGGCAGGCTGGGGCTATCGCGCCCCCATCGGCGATCAATGGGCGATGGCGGGTAGATGCAGCCCCACCTGCTTGGCGGCGCGCAGAGGGGGGGGTGTGGGGGGGGGGAAGGCTTGTTAGAAGGAGGCTGCTGCTTAGAAGGCGCGGGCCTTGCATCTACAGACAAGGCCCGCGCCTTCTGAGAAGCAGGGTGCGTCTAAGAAGCATTCCCCCCTTCCCCCACCCCCCTCTGGCCATCGCTCGGACGTCCATTTCCTGTGTTTTTTTTCGGTTTCGTGCGTGTTTTTTTCGCCAATTGATCAAGGATGCTCCTCGATGGTCCTCGCCGAAGGAAAAATGCACACGTCCGAGCGATGCCAAGCCCTTCTGAACAAGGTCTGTCGAGACAACGGCGGCTCCCCCACCACCACCATGGAGCCGAGCGGCTGACGGAACGCGAGGGCAGATGAGTGCGCGATTGGCAACTCTGCAAGACAATATGGAAAACAAGAAATAGATTAAGGGGCCCTGGGACACACAAATAAATACACACAAATATAAGGATTTCCCAAATTTTCTTACATTTTCTGGGTTTTGGTCTTCCCCACCACTTCCCATATTTTCCCATATTTTCCGGGGAGTCGACGATTAATTGTGTCTGTGTGTTTCTTCCCCTCCTGAATGAAGAACGACTGCGCGCACACAGGGACTCGACTGTCTGGCTCAAACGTGTCCGAGAAGGCACTGCAGAGCGCAAAACGACTGTCGAGCGTCCCGCCCAGCTCCAAATCCGGTCCAAACTGGTCCCAGGACCCTTCCAGAGGTCCATGCCGACCTGTTTCCCAGGCGGATCCAGCCGCGGTGACGCGACGCCTCTGGCAAACAGCCACGAGAAGTCGAACAAACGCCACGGAGGATCGTCGCTGCCGTGTCTGCCCCCCCTCCGACCGAGGACACTCACTTCCACATCCACCGCCCCCTTGGGATCCTGGGAGATCGGTTCCCCAGACGACACATGGCGAACCAAAGGTACCGATGCCTCTATCAACCCGGACGTGCGTTCCTGGCGTTCCTGAGAAACACCACCAGCGGAGGGCGCGTAATGGTCGCCAACACTTCGCCCCAGTCGCGCATGGCGACGCGGGTCGCCCCCACAGCGCGGGCGCGGTCGCCTCGCAGATTGCGCCCCGTTGCCCCCGCGCAAAACTGGGCTGCCAGAGCGGCCAGCGGCAGTCCGAGGGGCCAGCCCGCAGCAAGCGCGCGCCGCCGCCGCCCTCCTCCCCCCGAGAAGCGCGCGCCCCCCCCCCCAAGAAGCAAAGCTGACCGGACGAGCAGCGACGGGGGGCGCGGATTCAGCTTGGCATTCCGGGGGGGGAGGTGGGGGGGGAAGCAGGACGCATGGGCGTCGCCCGAATGATGACGATGATGATGACGATGGTGATGATGATGATGATGATGATGATGATGATGATGATGATGATGATGATGATGATGATGATGATGATGATGATGATGATGATGATGATGAGAGGAGGAGGAGGAGGAGGAGGAGGAGGAGGAGGAGGAGGAGGAGGAGGAGGAGGAGGAAGATGAGGATGAGGATGATGATGATAATGATAATGATGATGAGGATGATGAGGATGATGATGATGATCCTGATGATCCTGTTGATGATGATGACGATGATGACGATGATGACGATGATGATGATGGTGTTCACGATGATACAGGAGGTACTGATAATGTTGATGATGACCATGATGCTCATGGTGATGTTGATTAGGTCGAAGATGGTGAGCACCATCATCATGAGCACCACCGCCACCATGAACATGGTCGTTATTTTGAATAACACCAGTCTGACCAGGATTTCGAAGAGAATCCAGCGGTGGCGACGAGGGCCTCCCAGGATGCCCAGGAAAGGGAAAACGCGGGTAAGGCAGCGTTAGGTCGGGCATGTCCTCCTACAGGTGGACACTGCAAGGAAACAACAAAAAATCAACAATAGTCCAAAGAGCACGAAAAATAGACCCCATCCTATTTTTGAACTATTATTGAATACTCATCCTTTCGAGGGACATGCCCGACTCACAAGGCAACGGTGTGGGCATGGTCCCTTCCTCTGAGTGGAGAGCCCTTCTGCCTCCCTGCCGGCGCACCGTCTTCTTCGTCTCCCCCCATCTGAAGAGCACGTCCATGTCGACCGCGGTGTAGTCGTCCTTGGCCTGGCAGGCGCGCTTTTGGTAGGTGGATCTCTCAAGCTCTCCGCCGCCTCTGGCGGTGTGCGTTGCGAGCAGGAACGTAGCAAAGCCACAGGAAAGAGCGGCATCGACAGCGCAGCTCCGCACACGTGACAAATGTTAACGAGCAGGAACACAGCAAAGCCCCCCCTCCCCCACAATAGGGGGGGGGGGCAGACATCCGTCGCCGTGGCCCGCGGCCTTCTCGCAGCGCGGCCCCACAGAGGCCCGGGCCTACCAGGAGGACACGCCGAGACCTTGACAACTAAATTCCAGTCCAGGTCTTGACACTCGCGCCCCCGTCGGGGGCGCGCAAAGATGGATTAGCGATCCATGGATTTGGCACGCGGTCGCCGAATCCTTGGATCGGGGGAGGTGCCCTCCCCAAAATGCGGCACAGGCCGTTCGGCGGCGGCAATCCGCGATTTCCCATGGAAACGAGACCCGTCGCTAATCCACGCCCCCTTGATCCATGTTTGCGATCGCCTGACTAAATTCCAGTTGAGGTCTTGAGACTCGCGCCCCCGAGGCCATAAACCCAATGTTTGAGTCGCCGAACAGCAAGCCCTCGTAGATTACGTCATAGTCGCGTCCCCGAGGCCAGAAACCCTGACAAATTACACCAGATTCGCATGGCCGCGGCCAAGATTGCTCCAAGGCGCCCGAAGATGGTTCCGAGACGGCCTAAGAGGCCCCAAGAGCGCTCCAAGAGGCTTCCCGAGAGAGCCCCAAGAGGCCAACACCGTCGGTTTTACAAAGGTGTTTGAAGGATTTTGGCCTTCTCGCATTTTCGGCTTTCCGACGCTCCAAGACGGCTCAAGAAGCTCGCAAGACCGCCCCAAGACTGCCCAACAGGGCGCAACGATTGCCCAAGAAGCGCTCAAGACGGCCCAAGAAGGCCCCACGACGGCCCCAAGAGGGGCCCAAGCAGGGGACTACGAACCGACAATCGTAGATTTGTGCCCCGAGAAGCCCCCAGGAGGTCCTAAGAGGCCGCCAAGAGACCCCAAGAGGCCCCAAGAGGCGCTCAAGACGCGCCTAAGAGGCCTCCAAGAGGCTCAACTGATACTCCACCAGCCCAAATCGCCTCCAAGAGGCCCCCGAGAGGTTCCCCATGACACCCCAACACATGTACAAGAGGCCTCAGACCCACAACCCAGGCACGATGGCGGGATGGGCCGAAGGCACGATCTCAATATGCGCTGATGATTCCGATCCGCCTCCGCATGATGTTCCCAGACGCGCCAAGGCAGCGACGAGATGCACCGACGCGACTCTAATATATCCCATAATGATAGAGAGGGACCGGCGGCAGGGGGCGAAGCCCTTACGGATAATAAGGAAGGAAAATGAAAGGAGGTGGCCTCGACGGCACCAGATGACGGAAAGCGCGCGCAGCGTCGCGATCCGCTAGTTGGAAAAAATAAACAAAAGAAATGAGAGGGGGTTGACAAGACCAGTCCCAAATGACGGAGAACGCGCGTATCGTCGCGATCCGTTAGTTGGGGGACATACGGAGTGGGAGCGTGGGGGGAGTTGGGGGGTCAGCACGACACGCCCCAAATGTCGGACGGCGCGCGTCGCGGCGCGCTCCTTGTAGCCGGGAGAACTGACAGGGGGCAGCGCCGCACGGCATCGTCTAAGCGAAACCTCACGGGGCATCAGTCCACCTCGCGCTGCTCACGGAGACGGTGCGCACACCGACGATGCGCGCACAGACGACGGGCGCATGCGAACGGAAGCGAGACGGAGCCTGGCGCAGCGCCTCCGGTGCTCGGGCGGCGCTCTCCTCGCGGAGCGCGTGCCCGTCCTCCGAGGCCCGTGTCAGAGCCGCGCAGGCAGCGCCACGAGAACCGCCACGGGCCGCGTGCCACCAGTGGAGCTGAACGGAGCAGGCACACGTGGGGCCAAAACGCGCCCTGAGGTTCATCGGCTGGAGGAGACAGGATGGGCACCGAGTCGGCAGCAGCCAGGCGAAGGGATCCAGGCCTCTGCTCGAGTGTGACCTGGTACCCTTCAGAAATCCGCACCCCAGGATGTGCGGGGCGTGAAGACTGTGCGCGTCGTGAAATGGACATGAGGCAAGCGGGTCCAAAAGGAACGCGAGGGGTACCCCCTTCATTCATGGCGACTTCTGCAGAACGCTGAAGGATCGCCCACGAACTAATTGCGAAGGGAAACGTCAGGGGGGGACCGGCTCAGGGGGGATGCCATGGCGATGCATCTCAAACAGATCGGCGGTAGGCCTCCCGTGGCAAAACCGCACGGTACTGGGCGGGGTGGGCAATCCGGTACTATCGGCGATGCATGTGTGATTGGGGGTCGATGCGTCCCCCTCTGAACCTATCCCGCCCTAACGTTGCCCATGACTACGTCATGCCTCCGCGCCGCAATTCCATGACAGCGCGCGGTCCTTGGC